TATTTGTTGTAATTTGACTGTGTCACTTTGGATCTTATTATTATATATGTATAATTTCTGAAATGTTTTAATTGTATTATTTGCTGTTGCTATATAAGGACTAAGCAGGCTTCCGAACTCCAGCCTCTGAAGAAGTGACTCCATGTGGCACGAAACGTGTAGTTTCTACTGTCTGTACTAGTGGCAATAAGTTTGCAACTTTCACTATTTGAACTTGTATATTGTTTGGCGGACTGGCATTTGTCAGACTGAGGTCAAGGCTGCGAGACCGAGTGCTGGAACGCACGTAGGTCTCCGAGTGACTGCTCATCACTTACCCCTCTAGATTCACGTCTGACGCAGGCTAGGGGAAGCTTGTAGCAGAACTTTTTTTTTTTTAATTCTTTATTTTGTACGTGCAGTTATAACACTACAGCAGATCTCGCCACAACAGCAATAAAAGACATTTTAATGAACATAACAGATAACATTGCGACTGTAGGATAGCACATTTTAGAATTTTTTATAGTAGTGTAGTTAGGACTGTCATGCGTGTAGTAAAAGTAAACTGTTGCTTCTTATACCCTTTGAAATTGAGGATGCATGTCAGAGAAGGTTGCTTGGAAGGGGTGTAGCCTGTAGTCTGTCCCCCAGGGGGGTGTATTCTAGTCAGGAGTGTGTGTGTAGGGGGCTAACGATCCCACTGAAAAGGTAGTGCTATATGTGGTATTTTGTTGTGGGTCAGTGGGGGGGGGGAGATAAGGGCGTTTGGGGAGATTCGCCGTCGTAACTGGGAAGGGTGCCTGTCAGGCATAGTTAAAGCACATTTACCTGCTCGGAGCTATAGATCATAATAATCAGGAACATAAAGCAAAAACTGTTAAGTCCTGTGCGGTTTGAAACATAAAGCAAAAACTGTTAAGAAATATAAAGCAAGAACTGTTAAGTCCTGTGCGGTTTGTAGCCCGCTGGGAGGTCTTCGGCGTCTTCAGCGCACCGGCTTAGTTGCAGGATTCCCTCTGTGGGCCGCTGGTATGAATGGCGTGACCCTTTCTGGGTCCCAGGGTGTCGGTGCCGTTTGGGTTGCGGTCTCAGCGGCTGTCGCGGTCACTCCCATTTGGAGCAGGATGCTCGGTATTTCAGAGGCCTCCCGAACTTTCACTATTCCCGTTTCCCGGGTAATGAGTAGGCAGCGAGGTGAACCCCATTTGTATGGTGTTTTGCTTGCCGCTAGCGCCTGAGTGAGTGGACGCAGGGATCTTCGCCAGTCCATGGTGGCCTTAGATAAGTCCGGGTAGAA